GAATGTCATGTTGCTTTTGCCAAGACTTATGTTCGCACATAAGGACTGCGTTCGACTCGTGGAGTCGATATCGAGTGAGTATGAGCATCTAGGGTGTGTTGTATACTGTGTCATTATCTCTGATGGAGACGCACGACCTGTGATGAAATCGTGAGCAAGTTATCAGTGTGCCTCGGGCACGAGGTTGAAGCTTGGCGCCATGTATCCACCATGATGGTGAGGCAGTCGTAGTACGCTTGCAATACATGGAACGACTCGATGGGGTCTTGTGTGTTGTTAGGTGTGAAGCAAATTGATGATACTTTTGAGTTTAGGCCAAGCCAGACTGGGTCCCTTGCAAGAAGATGTGCGCCTGAGCTCGGACAAGATTGATCACCCTCCCCTGCAAGAAGGTAAACATATCAGCATAGGGAGAGTTGGATTGGGTCATGTATGTGAGTGTTTGCCTGTTGAGTATAGGGCGATAGGACTCATGCGAGCGGGGTCGAGTTTCGGAGGGGATACCTAGATCTCATGATTGGCATTTCCCGTTTGAGTTTGTCGTTTTTCCTTTTGGATGCGTGTTCTTGGTATTTCCGAGGACGGAAAAATTTTAAGGAGGATAGATTGTAGTGCCCCGTTCGGCCGAGCACCGCCCTGACTCATAACGGGGAACCCACCGAGCACTGCTCTAGTCTCATACTTTTGCTCGAGCACCGCCCTAGTCTCATGCCTTGACCGAGCACGACTCTGGTCTCACAGGCGCATAGGGGAGATTACCCCAACGGGGTCCGTTCTATAACTACGGGGATAAGAGTTCCACGGCCGGTAAAGCTCACATCGAAGGTTACATTATTCACATGCATACTTGATCATACCACGATTTAAACAGTAATAACATTTAAGGCATAACAATTTTTCAAATTAAAACCCACCTGGTGTCGGATGATAAAGCAATTTAACCAGAAAGTCGTAGGTGGTTGAGACACTGCTCGTCAGACACCTACATAAGTCAAGACAGTCCCATAAGTAACTATCTCAACCCTATATAGATAACACAAATTATACTAAGCCGAATCGCATCGATTAAGAAACTCGTAGAAGTTGTGGAGTTAGAACATTAGGATGACTCCTAGACTTGATCATCCAATTAATAAATCATATAAAAGCAGACAATGAAGGTTTGACACAAAAAAGGGTCAACAGGTCACGGATTTGCCAACAAGGCGAACCGGTGCAAAAAACGGGTTAAATAAACTAGTCCTTAATTATAAGAATGGGACCATAAGGAGTTAGGTTTAGACTTTTCAATTCAATTTTTACCCTCATATAAAACACTGGAAATTACACCTTTTCACCAAAGGAAAATCCCTTAACATGCTCCTGACCAATTTAAATAATTTAAGCAAAATCTGACCAGAAATTAAATTAAATTATTTTAAATAGCTACAGTACGAATTTAAGTTTGAAATTTTTACAGTAGCAACATATCATGAAGAACAACAACATAACCAAACATTAGCCATTTTTAACAAGAACTCGATTTTATATGAACTTATTACGAAACAGCCCAGAAATGGTTTTCGGGTTTTGACGAATCTACAGACCATATAAAAATCACAAATTTTAACTACAAGTAATATAACAGCAATATAACCACATATACAAAAATTAGAATTTTTGGAGCAATACACGTATGATGGTAATTTTAGCAAAAACGGGTTGTAGCATGATTTTCAGACATTCATAAGTTACAATATACTCATCGAAACGACACAAGGCCAAAGCCATTGCGTCGAGGATATTGCTAAGTCCAATAATCAACGCACTTCCATGGGAAATACCACATTAACCTCAGTTCGACAATTTTTCAAAGTGACGACAATCACTTTGATATCCAATGGCAATTATATATCAATAATTCATTCAAATATATAACCAACGAACGTATTGAACTCGAATATCATACGTTCAGCAAATTAACACGTATACGAGCACTTAAACACATATAAGAGTGAGATAAATAAGTCGAGGGTTAGCCTGGGTACCGTTCTCGGGGAAAGAGTATGAAAACGAGCAACGTAAGGGTCGAACGGGGCTGAACGGACGTACGTAAGGGCTTAACAACTCGCGTTTGGCTCGCCCGGTGCGGTGCGCGTTTGCTGGGGCTTTTAAAAAGCAATACGAGGATACGTCGAAGCTCGCCGGTAGCAGCACAAGACGTATGAACAGCTGCAATACAAACAGAGATGGAGGAACTCGCGACTATGGT